ACGATGTTACGATTGAAGTTGGAAATGATCCGTATGTAAAAGTATTTCGTGCTCATATGATAATTTTATATTATCGTTCTCCGTATTTGCAAAGAGTTTTGTCCACCAATAAAAAGAAAATTGATGGAACTTTGGTACATATTAAATTACCAAATATTTTACCTGAAAGTTTTCACATAATCTTAATGTAATTAAAAAATAGTACGAGTCTTTTTATAAATACATTTTTTTTTTGATTTTTTTACCAAAAAATTAACTTATTTTAAGGTATATTTATGGCGCAAAACTTTCCTTGGAGGAATATGGTGCTTCAGATATTATAAATATCTTGGTCGCTGCCAGTGAATTAAGTCTTCAAGAATTAGTCACCCATTTACAATCATTTTTGATTGCAAATAAGTCAACATGGATGAAACAAAATTTTAACTTGATAAATCAAATAAGTTTTAAACATAATTCGTTCTTAGAACTTCAAAAGTTTTGTACCAATTTAATTTCCAAGGAACCAGAAAGAATAATCAAGTCCGTTGATTTTGTTTCAATTCCAGAAAAATCTTTACTTTCTCTCATTCAAAGTGAGAACCTTTTGATGAGTGATGTTCAAGTTTGGGAACATGTTCTTAAATGGGGGATCGCTCAAAACCCAGAAATTTCTTCAGATCCTTCTGACTATACAAAAGATGACTTTAATGCTTTGAAGAATACCTTACAACATTGCATTTCATTTATTAGATTCTACAATTTTACTTCCAAGGAATTTTTGTATAAAGTAATACCATATAAGAAACTATTACCAAAGGAATTATATACGGATCTAAATAAATATTTCTTGGATAATGACCATATAGCAAGATACAAGTCAAAATCTCAAATATCTAAAGAACCTAGCGTAACAAATATTGATTCAAATATTTTTACAATTAAACATGCTGAATTAATTTCAAAATGGATTAACAAAATGGATGACAAAGACGAATTAAAAAATCTTTATGAATTTAAATTATTGCTTCGTGGATCTCGTGATGGATTTACATGTGAAAAGTTCCATGAACTTTGTGATAATCACACTCATACTGTAACGATTATTAAAGTAAAAGATAGCGATGAAATTCTTGGTGGTTACAATCCTATTGATTGGAACGTTAGATTTAATTTTAATAGTCCCCTTTCACATATATTAAATATTAATTGTGTTACTAAAGAAAGTTTCATATTCTCATTTAAGGGTAAGGAATCTACTGAAAATTGCATTCTAAGTCGGGTAAATGATGATAAGAATGCTATAATACAAAGGTATAATCAAGCTTCATCTTTTGGTTTGAGTGATCTTATTGTAAAAGGAGTTGAAGGTTACTGTATAAAGTATTCTTATGAAAAAGAAATCAGAGAAACTAAGGATGAGTTTTCCATTGAAGAATACGAAGTATTTCAAATTACGATGAGTTAAGCAAAATGTACGTAATATATTTTAACTAGAAAAAATTGTAATTATCAAAAATAATTAATTTTAAATTACTAATATTGTTTGCATTTGAAGATTCGCATATTACTTACACACATACAAACCTACTCTCAATGGATGGACTGGACTTGAATTATCCTAAAAATGAATTGAATTTATTCAAGTATCGAAATTATTTATTTTATATATTTATTAGTGCAATTGTTAATTTGTATTAAAAACAACCTGAGCAGCAAATTTCTAGTAAAAAAAAAAATATAACAAAATAAAATTTTCTGGAATATTGCATGATCAAAATATAATCTGGCAAGTAATGGTAGTTACTAAAAGGTTGAGTAGTTTTGCCATCCTATGAAACCTTACAATTAGTAATGATTTTATAATGTTAAATAAAAAAAAATTTTAATGCTGCCGTAAAGTTATTGATTTTTCCTAATTTATTTATAAACTCGATTTTTTAATTTTTTCTTAAGTTTCACGACTTGTTAATCGATCAGTTTTTGTGGATCGGTTCAGTATTAGCTGAAAACATGAAACCGAAATATGATCCATTTCATTAGTGTTTAGTGTAATGCTACCAATATCCATTTATCTGTTATATATTTTAGTCACATTTGCCATGTGGTCATTTTGTAATACGATTTAAAGAATCTTGAGAAAATATGGTATCATGACTTGTATTGGTTTTGAAAGGCTTTAATGAAAATCTTTTTTTTTTAAAAAAAAACAGAGAACATTGTGTATTGTATTAATTCGGAACTAAAAAAAAAAAAAACTTCAACAGGCTCTAAATTTGGTAAAGAAAAATTAAAAGAATAATGACAATACAATTCTTAAAGAAAATCATTAATTAGTGAAAGTAGTGAACAAAAATAAATATTATAAGAAGGAAGCGTTTAACGTTATTTTTTGTAATCTTGAAAATACCTCCGAAAATTCGTAGAACTTTATGATAAAGATGAACACGGCTTTTATTTGATTAAAGCTGATTTAATTCAATAAAATTTTTTAGAAATGATTCGAATCGTAGTTAGTTAGAATTCGGAACAAAATATTCGAGTTTTTCTTTTTAACATTTTGGATCCAAAGAAATTATAATTTCACATGATTATTGGCATGGTTTATTTTCAGTTTAAAAAATATACAGCTCTTAAATACGATAATGAATATATCGTGAGGCATTCCCGCTTTAGCTAAAAAATCATATCATCGATATGGAATTTGTAGAGACAACTAAACGAAACCCATAAATTATTTAATTACATTTGAGCAATTGATCGGATAAGTTCAAACCGTTTCTTCTAGATTATCTTAAAGAAATTGAAAGGTATCACAATCATTTAATTTACACATTATTAATTTTAATTACTTGAATGAAATATTTTAGGAGATTAGGATGGCCTTTCAAAACGTTGGTATAAATTTTTTTTGAAAATGCGTTACTAATCTACCTCGCCTCTGAATATTCAGATAAAGCAAAAGCGATTATGAGAATGTGCGTTTAATGCAGGGGTGATTATCAACATTACAATTTGTAAGAACAATTCACTATATATCTAATATTATTTTTCTTTATCTTTAATTTCTAATTTAATATGATGAAGCTGCAGCACTATTTTGCATTTGTAAACTTAAAATTAGGAAGTATGTATAAAAAATTAACATATACATTTTTTATTATTAATGAATTTATAAAACTAACATCACCAATATTTATTAAAGCCACATATTGTAGGCGATTGTGATGGCAACTTTAAATTGTAAAACGAGTGGATGTTGTTACTGAAAGATTTGATGCATAGTTATTGATTATAATTTGTTAAAAACTTCATTATAAACAAATGCAATATTTGATTCGAGAATTTTTTCGTCTGTATAAATTTGCTTTATGGGAGAATTCAATAACATTTATTCTGATGGGATTGATCTTGATGACATATACGAAATCAAACAATATATAACTGTTGAAGATAGAAAATATTTGGAAGCAATTAATTCGTGTCAGTTTTAAATAAATAAGATCATCCTTTTGACCTAGTTTTTGAGCAATGTTTGAATTGGAAGATTTGGTGAATAATTAATTTACAAAATTTCAAAGTAAAATAATCTTTTCGGTTCCTACTGAAATCATTTCCATCAAGTATGGATTAGATTTTATATATTGTCTCTTTGATAATAAATCTGATAAATATATACACACATTTATATGTTTAGATTTTGTTAGCAGAATTTTCTACTTATGAAGTTCGCTAATTAAAATCAGGATCTTAGGTAAAGTTTAGATATTATTTAATATCAACAACTAAAGTGAAAAAATTCCCAGAAATATAAATATTTTCAGTATGAATAATAAATAAATGTGAATAAATATGAATGACATCATTATAAATAATCAAACTTTGACGGGTTTACGACGATATCCCGACACCCAGAATCCCGACAGTCCAGAATCCCGACTCCAAAATCCCGACATACTCAAAACCCGGAGTCCATAATCCCGATGGTCTTTAATCCCTAACCTCATTCTAACCCTAATTCAACGCAATAAAAAAATATAACCCAATTCTAACTCTAATCCTAATCCTGATCCTAATCCTGACCTAATCACAATACTAAACCTAATCAGTTAGTTTAGTATATTTCAATAATTATCGCATTTAATATGTATAAGTACTGCGCCACGGTTTTTTTTTAAAATAATATGTCCATTCGGGATTAAAGACCATCGGGATTATGGACTATCGGGATTTTGGGTATGTCGGGATTTTGGAGTCGGGATTCTGGTGTCAGAATATTTGTAGATCCCTCTTTTGACTATTCACCTATTTCTTTGCTAAAAATTTAAATTTCAAATTATTATTATTTATTTTGCAGATTAAAAGAATGAAATGAGGATTCGTTTTCAGAAAAATGTATATTTTTTGCTTTATCTTCCAACATTGCCAGGTAAGCTTATGGTCTACTGTAGCATATGAAGAAAAATCGGTTCCTGTACAAATGAAATAAATTTAGGTATTAATAGATGTTATCATTTTGTTGACTTGATTATTATATTATCAGGAGTCAATTAATAACGCATTCCGATACATTCCTAAATGTCGAAAAATAAAAGCTTCCAAGTGTACATTTTACCCATATAATTCCATTACTTGTAGTATTAAATTATCTAGGTTTGTATAGTTTTATCAAAATACTCATCATAGAAGCACCATAGTAATTGAGTTGTAATGATATCAATAGCTGTCAAGAGATTTAATCAATTATAATTTAATTATCAATCGGATAATAAACTTGAGCTGTTGAATGGTCAAGTATCAAAAGTTTACTGTAAGTCAACATACTTTATAGACTTAAAATTATATACATAAAGCTATAGAAACAATTTATATAAAATTTATTTATATTCAAATTTAAATGGACTAATTATCGTAAAGTTATTACATAAAAGAGTTTGGAAATAATAAAAAATCTAAATTATTAACGTCTATTATTTAATATAGAATAAACATTAATTCATACTTTAAACGTTAATAAATATTTAATCATAATGTGTAATATCGTAATTAGATGGAATGTCTAAATCAAATAATTTAGAATCTTGAAATCAATTAAATTTATTGAAATTAGCATTTATTTTAATAATCGCATCGAAATTAAAATTAATATATAATACTTTAACTATTCTCACCTTTTTCAAGGTATGAAGTAATAAGAACCGAATTAATAGGATTTGTTAGATTTTTATATGCAAATGCTCTACTTGTATATACAGCATCAGGATTTGCTTTACTCAAGATTGATATATTTGGAATCTCTTTATCGGCTTCTTCAAATCCTTCCCTTATCTCTTTTCCATAATATGCATATTTTTCAGTACCTGTATAAACATTATAATGAACGGAAAGATTCCAAAAATTCAATATACCACACAATTCTTCGGTTGTTGGTCTTTGATTTGGATTCTCATTCATACACCTATAAGCCAATTTTTTATAAAATTCAGGAGTTCCTTTTCCAAATTCTGGACGAAGTCCATTGCAAACATCTAAGGCTAAAGTTAAGTCATGATTCCTATTATAAAATGGAAGATTACCAGATGACAATTCGGCCATAATTACACCAAAACTGTAGATATCAGAGGCCACAGAATATAATCCTTCATTCAAGACTTCCGGAGCGATATATGGTAATACTCCATATATTTTATTATCCGAAAATTGTTTATTAGCTGGTCCTGTTAATCCAAAATCTGAAATAAGTGAATTATTGTCATTTTGTAAAATATTTCCACTATGAAAATCCTTATGGCAATATCCTAACCGATGTAAATTACGAAGGTCAAAGGTTATACCAAGTAATAAATTAATTTTATATTGCCATAATAGTTTGTTGAATTTATTTGAAAGAATACTTCTCAAATTTCCCTTATTTGCATATGTTACGATCATAATTAACTCTTTGGTTTCTGGATCCTTAGTTATTCCATAAAAATTTAATGATAAATTACCAACATTACATAAATCCCAATGTGCTTGAAGCTAGTTATTATGATAAATATCTTAGTAAATTATTTAATAAATATCAAATATAAATGTAAAATATACCTACCTCATCAAGAAATTTGGCTGACATATCTCGTGATCCAATCAACCTTTTCAAAGCAACCATCATAGGTTTTGGAACTAATTTTTTCCAACTTCCATCATCTTGCTTTTGAAAATGTGATATCCCGTCTAACCATATTGCAGCATAAACTTTTGCAAAACCTCCTTCACCAATTTCTTTTATATTTGTGAACCTATCAAAAGGCACCCATCCAAGAAATCTTGCTTCTTCATTATGCCTTGCATCATATATTGTATCTTTAATGAACTTATCAATGTCATAATTTCCACTAGTCCATCCTTCGATTATATTCCGAGGATCACATTCTTTACACCAAAATTTCTCAGAAAACGGTCTATTGCAATAAGAACAATTATTAACTGTTAATCGTACTTGAGTTTTCATTTTCATTCATTATGTTAAAATTATTTTCTTGGATAAATATTTATAATTGTTAGTGTCACCAATTATAACGAGAGTAATTTAATATGTTACATAACAGTAAATATTTGTAACCAATAATATATTGTGTAATATTTTCGAAGGCGTTACTAATTTTTACTATTAAAATTTTGCTATTAAATTATTTCGTTTGAAATATTTGAAAGTTTTTTTTATATTATAGACGATTTTCAAATTGGATCAAAAATCAGGTGATTCCATTAAGTTTAGAAGGCTGCAGTAGTAGAATAATTTTAATTTTTCAAATGTAATAGGTTTTTTTTTTTTTTTGATTTTTAGGTAGACTAGTTTATTTTTATTTGCTTTTCAGGTTCAATCGCTTTGAGGCGTAGCGAGCGATCAAATATTTTGAATCTTTTATCTGAACTTTATTCTTTAGGTTTCTTCTTTAGTAAGGTTGCCGGGAAAACCCCGGAGGTTTCGACAGACGTCGAAACGTTTTGCAAATATTTTTGTTTACAAACCATATATATCAAAGGTCATTTTCTTTTATAATAATATCATATATTTATATTATTTATAAAAGATAAAAAATAAAAAACAAGTTTGCTTTTAAATTAAAGTGTGAACTAGTTGATAGTAAAAAAGGACAAGTTGTTTTCTTTCACAGAAATAATTTGAAATGAACTAAAAACAACATCTCATTTAGCAAATGACTGAATGATTCATCTATTATATGATTACTAACATTGATGTTTTATAACATTAATATGAAATCCTTTTATGAGCGACGATATTTAAAATCGAATCCACGTTTGTTAACGTGCCGATCATTTTCGTATCTCCGAAATTTTTGAATAAAACTTTGCAAGAACTTTTGAAGCATTTATTATCTAAGCTCCCAAATTATATATCATATTTATGTTTTTACCTGTTTTGCAGATTTACTTAGGAGGTCAAGTAATCTTAGAATGTCGCATATTTAAAATCTTGTAATATAAAAAAGCAATACTAAAATTCTAATTTAAATTTCTATTTATAGACAAGTTTTTATTTTGAACTTTTAATGATCTACAAAAATATGTAACCTTTTTTGAATTTCTTTCCCGCAACATATTGTACATCGTTAAACAAACTCTTCATTCTAAAAAAAAAAAAAAAAATAAAAGAAATATTGCTAAAATGACAAGAGGGTATTCATTAGGACAAGATTTGAGGTTATTGTTAAATAACCCAAAATATAGTGATATAGAGATTGTATGCAAGGATGAAAAAGAATTACATGGTTGTAGAGCAATTTTAGCAGCAAGGTCCGAAGTATTTGATAGATTACTTTATAGTAGAGTAGGAGAAAGTTATGAGAAACGAATTTCTTTTTCAAAGATCAATTCTTCAGGAATGGAAGTTATAATGGAATATGTTTATACGGGAGTTGTTAAAGAAGAATCTTTAACCAAAGAAAATATCGTTGACGCTTTTATTGCTGCGGACTACTTTCAACTGCCAGACCTTCAAGAATTTATTATGAAGACAGTTAAAAATACCTTAGAAAAGAATCGCAATGATAATTATTCACCGGAATTGTTATCTAAAATTCTTGATACAATTCCATTGACGGAAGATAACATTCTTTCTAATCTTTTAGTTGACGCAGTATCAGCTATTCCATTAAATACCATCGAACTTGGCCGGTTATCTAGTAAAGCACTACGGGTCCTTTTATCTTGTACTTATGAAAAGGATAAATTCTTTGTAACCCCAGAATATGAAGTGTTTCGATACAGTGCTATTTTAGTTGCAAGTGAGACATCTAATGATGCAACCAAATCCCTTTTGAACCGTTTACCAACCTTAGAGCACATGGATAAATTTAAGCAAATCGATAATGACCTTATTCCGGATCATCAAAAAGTCGCTAAAGAATTAGTACCTTTGATACAATTTATTGATTTCAGACGAATTAAAAGCCAAATATTAGCTAACATCATCGAGCCATTAAACATTATCCCAGTTGAAACGCTTTTAAATGTTTATCGACATCGGGCAATGTCATATAATGCAGATTTGAATGAAGTTCGTGGACGTTTACCTGTATCTAATAATACTGGCTTTGTTTGGGATGAGTCAGCGTGTGGATCAAATCTTATTATCGAAGATGACGGGAAAGTTGTACGAGCATCGAATGCTTGTAAAGGACACCAAAGTGTTAGAGCTAAGGTGGCATTCGAAAATCAAGGCATTTATGAATGGGATGTTATAATTGAGAAACATGGTGGATGGGATTGGGTTGGAGTGTGTGCATCAGAAAACTTTGTTTATGAAAAGTATGTAGGATATCCAACTGCTTCTATTGGATGGCTATTAGGCTCTCCAGGTAGAATTTATCACTCTAAAGAAAATTATAGAGATGGATATTGTCCTTCATTTGCGAGAGAAAATAGCAAAGTTACTGTTCATTTAGATATGAATAAAAGGACCGTTTCATTTACAGTCAATGATGTAAAATATCCAGTGGTATCAGAATGGAAAGATCTACCATCTAAACTTTACCCTGCGGTTTCATTAAATTATCCTAGTCAGTTTCGAATTCAGTTTCATTGAATTTCGTTAGTATGAAATAATATTTAGCAAATATTAAGTTTATTTAAATAAAATGTAATTAAAAATATATTACTTTCGTATATTCGGCGGGATAAGGACTTTTGCAATTTTCTCATCATCTGCTGAAGTCTACAAAGCATAGCACACTAACCAAATGTATATATTTCGATAGTAATTACATCAGTTTGTTCTGGAAAGTGCTAGAAAGTTCATAACTCCTCATGTTATGTTTTCGATTTTGTCATATATATTCAGTAAACAAATACCATTGTCGACAATTAAAACTGCAAAGATTTTAGCTAATGCATAAATTATAATATATTTACAAAACCCGGTAATTTACCATTTCCGTCTGTGTTCAAGGACATTATTATTTTTGAATGATGAAAGGATGAAGATGTTAATTTCGTCTAGTTAGACGAGATTTAACAAAAGAATGCTGATGAGATAAAGAAATTTAAATTCCAACTTACTTTTAATTTAACAAAATATTTTATTCTTATAGTCCTTATTTTATATTTTAATTTGCATTTGACTGTCCATAACTGTTCCTCGTCTGTAAGAAATCAGTAGGCCCACCTCTACTTTATCACCGCCAGCTATTGATAAAGGATATTTGTAGTAGTTCATCTATTCTTTCCAAAAGGTATTCCTTATACTTAGCGCTAGGATTATGTATCAATAATATTTATTTCATTTTCCAAATTTTTATGAGAACGATGCCTTTTGATTTCAAATAAGCCACAAAATTTACGTTGAGCATCATGTGATGGTTCATAGTTTAAACATTATTCATCCAATTAAAAATTAAAATTTTACTTTTTTGAACCAGAAATTTTAAAACTGATCCTTACAACCATATTATTAATTTATTTATCAAAAAATAAATATATACACTATTTATTTATAACACTTTTGTTGTTTCAAAATACGAGGAAATGGCGGATCCAGCAAGAGAAGTCTTTTGTGAGAATTGTTCATTTATTTTATATATATTTGGTAATTAGTAAATTTTCCACAATTGAATTACTTTAGCATATTTAATTCTTACTAAAACGAATCCTTTGTGATGTTGACTCGCCATTGCTGTCACTATTTGCATACATATTTTTCAACGTTTAATTTCAGCATAATATTAATAACTTGTTCTTCATTCAACAATAAATTCAAGACAACATGGATAGTATGCCATCATATGGATGCTCTTCCACCATGCTTTATATTAAATGAATATTTAATCTATCAAAATTTTTCTTGGAAAAAGTTTGGGCAACTGTAAGTCTAAGGTTAAGTTGTACTTCGCAAATGAAGCCTTGACTATTCCTAATATCGATCCATTGTTAGCTGAAAGTACTATTATTTCTGAAGACTTATAAATAGCTATCAAATCAAGAGCGTTGATTGATCTATTATATGCTGAAAGCAGAAATAAGGCTGGTTCAATATTTATTAACCGCTATATCATATGATAAGTAAATTTCAAATCGTCTCCACGGGTTTAGTTCAAATACATGTGATATACTGTACATCTAATAATATCAGTTAAAAAATTATTCGCAAAGAAGGCTCCGAATGGACCACGTACAAAGATGGTATCTTCATATATACAAATTAGAGAAATGCCTATGTCCAATTCAGATGGTGTAAAAGAAATTCTGTTATTTACGCATATTTATTAAAAACTGTTGTTATTTGACTTAACCTCAATCTATAAATGTTTACGATATTCTAACAAATAATTTAAACATATTAGTAATATTAAAAATTAAATTTTTGAAAGTAAAAATTCAAAATTTGGTAAGGTTACCTGTATTAATTATCGTAGTTTTAGTGTATATAAGGACCATCATTAAAACTATTGAATATTAAATAAATATAAAAACTTTTATATGTAAGAAATATTCTAAACTTTGATATGGCTTTCCTATCGTCTCCCTGAATAATGATAGCCGAATTTATTTTCCGGGTCACATACACATCAAGGTTGATCAAATTCATTATCAATATAATCCAAATCGCAAGACATGAAATTTTTTTTAATAATATTCTGAAATCGTGTGACTATTATTATAAATATTCACACATCTTACTTTAGAATCTTGGAAGTAACCACCATTTTTAAGTCTGTAATTCGATCCCATTGCATAAGATTGGTGATCCTTAAGTTTAATTTCGTTGCAAATGTATTGAGCCTCGAACGAAATCAATCTTTCTCATCAAGTGAACCTTTAGTTAAAATTTTATTCAGCAAATATGTTGTGATCCTTGAAAGAAGACTATCAAAGTGGTCGCGATCCTTGTTGAAACTTGATCGTAGAAATCCATAAGAGATTGCGATCCTTGGTTGAAGTTCGATCATGTTACAAGAGGTCGTAAAAATATATTGACCCATCAAGTGATCGAGATCCTTGGTTAAGTACGATCCCGTCAAGGGGTTGTGATTCTTGAAAGAAATATATTGATCTCAAATACCTCTTCGGCTAATTTATGAAACTTGATTCCGTTGCAAGTGGTCGTGATCATCCTTGGAATTTCATTTGCTTTACCATTTCATTTTGTTACAGTTTCATTCAGGTAAGTGATGAGAAATATTCTTTTGATAAGGATATTTAATATTTGTAATATTTATATATATGAGAGGTTTTGTTATTAAAATCAAGTTACGAACATAGTAAATCTATATGATTTGTAACGTGATTTTAATAGAAACTTCCCAAATATATATATATATATATTTTTAATAGATGTCTTTATAACCAAATTCAACTCTTTATGTAATTTTTATTATAATGAATAAATTCATAAAAAAAAATACCGAAGGATATGACCGAAAGAAATTTCATTTTTAACGCACGGATATAGAATATTTATTAGACTTATAATTGATGGAACAAATTTATTTAATACATTTTAGAGAAATTTTGGAATTGATTGATTAAGGGTAAAATCTAAATTTAAAGAAAGCTATATAAAATTTGTTGCATTTCTACGAGTTCTTTAAATTCTAAATCTTTTCTCCCCAACTAAACTGATGATGCCATGAAAAACCAATTCTTATTTAAATTAATCATCAGTATTACGTTATGATTTTCCTATATAATTAAATAAATGTTTGAATAAATAAAGTCAAATTAATAATTTAAGACGAAAAAGTAAATAATTTAGTTAAAAAAAAAAAAGCTAAGCTAAATTGCTAAATTGTACCAAGGTGTTAGAAGGTGGTAGAATGTTTGATTAATTTATTTTTTAAATATACAGGGTAGATTTTTATTAAAGGATTGGGTAAATTTGGTATGCCAGTTATTCGAGTTTCACGGCACCAGAGTTCCGTTAAAGAGTCAGGTAAAGTTGGGAGGCTTGTTATTTGAGTCCCTTCGCAGTCAAGATAAATTAATGAGTTAGGTAAAGTTGGTAAAAAGGCTATTTGAGTTTTAGAGCATGAAAGTTTCGTTAAGGAGTGAGGCAATGTTGGTAAGCTTGTTATTTGAGTTTCATAGCAATAGAGCTCCATTAAGGAGTCAGGTAGAGTTGGTAAGCTGGTAATTAGAGTTTTAGAGCACGAGAATTTCTTTAAGGATTTAGGTAATGTTGGTAAGCTTGCTATTTCAGTTTCATAGCAATACAGTTCCGTTAAGGAGTTTGGTAATTTTGGTAAGCTTGTTATTTGAGTTTCAGAACACCAGAGCACTGATAACGAGTTAGATAAGGTTGGTAAAACGGTTATTTGAGTATTAGAACACGAGAATTTCTTTAAGGAGTTAGGTAATGTTGGTAAGCTTGTAATTTGAGTTTCATAGCAATAGAATTCCATTAAAGAGTCGGGTAAAGTTGGTAAGCTGGTAAGTTTAGTTTTCGAGCACGAGAATTTCGTTAAGGAGTTAGGTAAAGTTGGTAAGCTCGTTATTTGAGCTTTAGAGCAACGGAGTTCCGTTAAGGAATTAGGTAAAGTTGGTAAAATGGTTATTTGAGAATTATTACAATAGAGTTCTGTTAAGGTGTTAGGTAAGGTTGGTAAGCTATTTATTTGAGATTCATAGCAATGAAGTTCCTTTAAGGAATTAGGCAAAGTTGGTAAGAAGGTTATTTGAGTTTTCGAACACGAGAGTTTCGTTAAGGATTTAGGTAAAGGTGGTAAGATGGATATTTGAGTATAAGGGCAGATGAGTTTCGTCAAGGAGTCCGGTAAAATTGGTAAGCTTGTTATCTGCGTTCTTCCGCAGTCAAGATAGGTTAAGGAGTTGGGTAAATTTTGTAAGCTAGTTATGGGGGTATTGGAACAATAGAGTTTAATTAAAGAATCAGGTAATGTTGGTAGGGTAGCTATTTGAGTATCAGAACAATTAAGTTCCATTAACGAGTTAGGTAATTTTGGTAAGCTGGTTATTTGAATTTCAGAGCAATTGAGATATGTCAAATTTCGATATCTTTGCAATCCGCCTAAGGTGTTCAATACTTCATCCTTATTAATACTTGTAATAGTTAAACTATCAATTGTATCATCATAAATAATTGATTCAAAATCAATGATCCTTCCTTCCAATTCATGAATAATTTCCTGATTGCCATTGGTTACTTCTTCTTGTCTTCTAACCTTTTCTTCTAAATTACTAATAGTTTCATCTCGCTCTTTAATCTTTTCTTCTAAATAGTTGAATTGTAAACAAAATAATTCATTAGTTTGCTCCAATTCTTTAATTCTAATTTCAAAGTTTTTTAGGATTTCTTCTAAATTGTTCTTTGAAACCATTTTTTTTTTTATTATTTTTTTTTTTTTTTTTTTGTCTCCCGATTATTTTTAAATGTTTTTATTATTATTTTCTTGTATCATAGTTGTTTACCAATGGAAAGATAAATATTACCCAGCCTTCTGACCAACCGTAAATTTTTTCCATAAACAGTCTAGTTTGTAAGGATCTGCGCTAGGGGGTATATAGTAATCATGTATGATATGGTTTGTATGACAAATATTTCCATACATTGTATGGATTTTCTAAAATTTAAAATTTCGTCAGCTATTTCATTTAATTTTACCAGAATTTGAAAATCTAGCTTTACATCAAAAATGCATATGCATCGACCTTTGCCTAGGTTAGCAAGGTTAGCAAAAAAAAAAAAATATTTTTTTTTTTTCTGAATTAACCGAATAATAAAGTTTTTAAATTTTTTAATTCGATTAATATTAATTATTTTAATTATCATTTTTTTTTTTTTTTTTTAAAAAGATTTCTTTGGAGTTAGGTCACCGTAAATTTTCACTTTTCTTTTTGATTACCACTTTTTTTTAGATGATTTCTCTTTAATTGAACTTCAGGTCGCGTAAGTTTCTTTTATCTTTAATTAAAGTTTTTATTTAGGCAGTTATATCGCTGCAGACCGTCTTTCATTTTGTTTTTAGTTTCTGGGTTCGATCACTTGGACGCATAGTTTCGAAAGTTTCGGCAGTTTCGATAACAACTTCGCGAATTTGACGATTTTATTGTATCACTATGTAGAAATATAAAAATCGATTTTTTTTTTTTTGCTTTTTATTTTAAATTAGAACAAAGTTTCCAAAATAATACAATTTGGAAGCACTGGTACTTGAAGAATTAGAAAAATTACCTTATGAAGAAGGTGATAGAGGTTGGAACCGGGATTTATTTAATTTTAAAAATCGGATCCGGGATTAAATCCGAATAACGAATCTGTATTTCAAAGATGGTGCTATAAATAGTTACAACTATTTGCAGTTAATTACAACTTATAAAGTTATATTAAACTAAATTATACTATGCTAAAATTAACTTTATAATAAATTTTTTATTAATTCGATAAATTTTTACGCCTTCATAACTCTCAATTCTATTTATCTAAAATAACATTAAAGCTATTAATTATAGAAAGAATTATTTTTTCCGTAATTTTTCATAAAGGCGTTCTATTTTGACTTTTTTAAAAGTTCTTCTGTATCCATTTATTGCATACCAATTTCAAGACAGGCTCGTAAGATTATTTATATTATTAATTTAAAAAAGATTTGAAAAATGCGCGAGAGATACGGGTACAAAATTAAAAGCACAACACACAATTAAAGCAATGAAACGTGATAAGAAAAGAAGAATTAATGAAATGGAATGGACGAATCAGATTAAATTAATGTTTATAATTCAGCAATGGTCCGATAAAGAGGTCTTGGCGAATAATCATCTTATTGAAATTATGTATTCATTATCTAAAAGGTTTAAATGAAGGCATACATTTTTTACCATGTTTTAAAAATAAAGTATAATTTTCTTGAGTTGGTTTATCCTTGGGAATACATCGGAGGTACAGAGGATTTCTGTTTACTTTTCGTGGTTTTTCCCGATGGTTGGGAAGTATATAAATTTTTTTTTTTTTGATATTAAAGGTAGGGGTAAAACGTAATCACTGAAAAGAACAGTATAATAAATCCATCATATTAGAAGGCGCAGTAAATTCCTTGCGCATGATTTCAATTAATCCAATACTTCTTACTGATTTAACTTATAATTCATCACAAAGAAAATTATCAACGTTTCTCGTCCGAATTGATATACAACGGTATCATTATTTTATCCTAATTTTTAATAAAATTGGAAACGGGCTCTTACGAAAATCAGGGGTGATTTTCGTCATTTACATAATGATATTTAATAACTTTGATTACGTTGTCGTTCTTTTGTTGTCGATTATAACCAATTTCAGAACGCAGTTAAATATATTTGGTAAGACAATAAGCGGTTAGATACTTTTAAGTTATTTATGGAAAAATTACAATTGTAAAAAGATTTAACCGAGGGCTGAGTAAATGAGAATTTTTATTGGTAATCTTTTGATGCTGAATTCAACCATCCGATCGGGCGAAACCTGATAATTACGACCGATCCGAATCCGAAATCTAGGCGATATTAGTTGCGCCTCAACAAAAAATTTCCGAAATGTCCGATTGAGTCCGATACTGCCCAAATCCGAAATTCAATCCGAATTAATTGAAATTCTCCGAAACTTAATTATTCA